AGATGCGTAAAATTACTGTGTCTTTTCACCTGAAAGTATTGGGCAACGGGTTGAATGGGTTCCATCGGTTTCCAGTATTTACCTTCATTTTGTATCGTGGAACTAGTAAAAAAGCGATCGGGGAAAAAAATTTTGCCAGTAGAGATGGCAACGGGGCTAAGTACCTTAGAAGAGGGGTACATTCATCACCGGGCCCCCCCCCAAATTTTTCATTAAAATACGAGAGTGCAGTTTTCTGTTTCACAAGAAGAGTGTGGATTTGTTAAGCACATGCAGGCTCCGGGGTTTTTTTTTCTCTTTTTTTGTAAAAACGAAAAAAAATACCCCCATTAGTAACGCGAAAATAAATTTGCTTTTTTAGAAAAGTTTTACCTGCTAATGGTACAAAAAATTTCGTGGAGCTACTGTTTTTATAAGTTACAGTTTTATTTTTAAACAGGGTTGGAGAGAGAAGAGAGACGACAGACAGACGAGAAAGAGAAAAAGACAACAGAGAGAGAGATAGACAAGAGAAATGAGAAAGAGAGAGAGATAAATTCAAAAAATAAACTTTATACAGCAAAGAATAAGATTTAAGGAAAAATTAGTGTCCAAAAGAGGATCAAGTCTGGAATCTCCTGCCCTCGCAGGAGAAGCGAAGACTTTTACGGGGCAAACATTACAGCCCCATTTGTGCGCACTACCCTGGGGAGTTTTCTAAATAAAAATCCCCCATTTAAACCAAAAAATTCCTAGTGGAGAGATTTTGTTAGATTATGTTCATTTTTTTTTTTCTTTTGAGATTCAGTCTTTTTTTTAATGTCATGAAAAACTTCAAGGGGGTTTTTTTTTTAACGAGGGAATGGGATTTTAAAAAAGGAATTAAAACTCCCCAAATATTCCTTAAATAAAATTTTTGAATATTCCCATTTCCCAGCCCATGTGGCCCATACGGATTTAGTACTTCTCTAAATATATTTTAATAAAAATAATAATCTACGCTCACACTTATGCCATCTGTTGATTTTTTATCTTTTTAAAAATGGGGAAACCAGCCCTGGGATGCCAGCTTTCAGTTGAGAAAGAAAGACTCCCTGGAAACGCTGGGTGGAACAATGCATTGGAACAACAAACACAGAAAAACTTCACGAAAAAAACAGAACGTAAAAGAATGGGAAACGGCGAAATTTTCGGGGATTGGGAAAAGATTTAATCTCGTTCATGCATGATGTGATTATGGATAACGCTTGATATTTTTTTTGCATGCTCCACCCGCCTTTTCTCCCCGACCACTACCTTTCAAAGTTTTCCCAAATTCATCAATGGCAAGCGTTTCCTAAAATCAATTGCCTGCGTTCAAACCCCCCCCTGTTCTGTACCTGCTTACAATCGTGTTACTACATTTAGCGAATCGTAAAGAATCAATGTTCAGGGGGAAATTGCAAGTTCCCCCAGACATTTCCTGGTTAGCCTGCTTACGCTGAACTGCTTGCTCATAACACTAATAGCCTGACTGATAAGGCCAGCAGCCAGGCCCCGAAGGAGGGTTGTTAACCAACCATTTAAATGCGGTAGATTGGGATCATTTGGTGGGCTTTGCTACTAACCCAACCCCATAACTTTAATTTTCCTGTGAATATTTTTTGAGTTGAATTTTACCGTGAAGTCTTTTTAAGGGGTTTTTAATTTTATACCATTAGTTAAGTATACTGTGGGAGGTAGATACATGGGAGATAAATATCACTCAATTGGTATTCTGTGGAAGTTAATATCATTCCGTTGAAGTTGAATGATGTATTGAAAAATCAGTCGGAATTTTGCAGATATAATCAAATCTGCAATTACTGTTCGTAAGACATACTAAAAAGAACAATTTATATAATATATTGCTAAGTAACCTGATAATATAGCAGTTCACAGAAAGGAATAATTTCAGCAGATTCAATTACATTTCTCACTAGTATATTGGTGTCTTAATATGTTGCTTTCTAATTAGTATACTGCTATTTAATTAGAATGTGATATTCAAGGGAAAGTACGTTAAAGAAGCTGGATATGAAGAGCATGAGGTATGGAAGGTAATCAAGTTTGATGTTAGCGGAGCTCTAACATCTTAGATCAAAAGCTCTTCAGAATGAAGGTAGCCCTTTCTCATTGAAGTGTATTATTATTATAATTATGGGGGAGCGCTAAACCCGTGGTATTATACAGCGCCCGTGGGGGGAGGGGGATGGAAGGTATTCAGGCTCAATTCAGGGAACCGGAGCACAATCCAATCCCCTAGATCAAGAGCCCCTCACCAGCGTCAAGGAACCTCTCATGAGGGGCCATTGAAGTGTAGTGGGTGTGGTGAGATGGGTCGTCTTAGTGTTCGAAGCCGTGGATGCACTCATGTTGCATTTCTGTTAAGAGGTATTACCCACTACTGATTAGTGCCTGTCATGGGGGAGGAATCCCCGACCACGGTGACTGTACCCAGTAATGGTGGTAGACTTTCCCATGGTGGTTACTGTATACCCAGTAATGGTGACACGACTCTTGTGATAACTCCACTCTTGGGGTGACGTTACTTCCCATGATGACCAGACAATATTTTGACTAGAATCTTCAATGTGACCTGACACCCTATACTCGGACCACCAAATGCAGTCGATAAGCAAGCAGATACCTTATGGCTAATGGTTACCACATTAGGACTTGCTAGTAGACACTACGGTCTATAGCAACTTATGTCAGCAGTTGCTTCATGCCGTGTCCTCGACATAGTGCCGGAGACACCACTGAACGGGGCATGATTTGAGACACTCGTGTTAGGAGAACGACTGTATGTTGAGCATAAACCGAATCAATGTACAGGATACTAAACATATCTTTAAAAGCTTCTCTAAGGAGTACCAATTCAACTAGAATGGTACAATCATAACTCGCAGGACTTATAGCAATAAGCGAAACAAAATCATCGAGTCAGCACAAACAAAACATCCTATAAATTATCCCAAGGTCAGTGGAAACCAGACGAAATATCCAAAGTCTCCCTCAGAAACATACCATCTCTTCACTCCAGCATAGTTCCAGATTCCAGACGACTTACATACTGGAAGTTCACCTCTACTCGTGCTCAGTATGTATATGATCTGACGTTCAACACTGCAGGCCATAATTAGGAGCCATTTCAGATCCAGACATCAAGAATAGTACATGCCAACAGCACCACAACTCAGATCCTGAATGTAGATAACCTAAAGCAAGTATTAATACTTTAAGTCACATACTTTCATGTATAAACCATGTACATGTCTGTGCTGGAGCATTATCAAGATGCTTGCGACTTTATAATGGCCCGGGATGGACCGAAACAGTCCAGATCTTATTTCCAGTCTTTGGGATTATTATAGAACTAACATGACTTACACCTCACAGTGCAGCTCCTGGACTAACCAAATACTTTTGCTGAAACCATGAGAAATTAAGAAGTGAGAAATTAAGACGTGAGCACTTAATATGTGAGGAAGGACTTCCAGGCATGAGAAGAGGCGTCAAAGGTGAGGGACTTACTGTGAGGTACTCCAGGAGGGGTTACCACCACTTCCTGCAGCTGCGCCACCTGCTCCTGCGCTGCCACTCCCCCAGGTCGTTCACTGGGTGCGCCGCCGCGCCTACGTTCCCCCCTCTTTCCTGTAAACAGTAAACCACAACATTAACTTTTAGTTTGCAAACTTGTTTGCATTGTCAATTATTATATTCATTAAAATACAAGTGCTACAATAGTGTGGGTTATTTTCATTATTTGTGATGGCAAATTACTACATTTATAGGGAAGCGTAAATTCTGTATGGGCGTACAGTGCCTGGAAAATGGCACCGTCAAGGAATATTTGTTAGGAAAAAAATTCCCTGACGGCCATCTTAGTGGTCATTATTATAATCAAATAATAAAGCTCTAAACCGACAAGGGTCATGCAGCGCTGATTAGGGGTCATTAAGATGTATTGAATAATAACCCATTAAGGGCTTCTTATAAGCAGTCTTAGCGTGTCCTTGACACCACATTCTTATTAATTATAATTGCTACGTCTCCATTATTTTATTCACGAAGAATAGCCAGATCCACCTGGCTCGCGGCCTGGTGTCAAAAGCTCTAGCTTTCTATGCTGAGGGTCCGGGTTCGATTCCCGGCAAGGGTGAAAACATGCGTGTTTCCTTACACCGTTTGTCTATGTTCACCCATTAGTAAAATGGGTACCTGGGTGTTAGTGGACTGGTGTGGGTCGCATCCCGGGACAAAACTGACCTAATTTGACCAGTTTATCATGCATGTCAGCTAGGCTTGTATACCTTGTACATGTGATTGTAGAAATTAAGACATTATTATAGGATTATAAATATATTTTTACATTGCATGGAGACTGGGTGGTAATAAAGCATAATTAGAGGAAGTAAAGAGCCGCTTCATTCCTTTGGATCAAGAACCTCTCACTAGCTTGAAGGCCCTAAAACATAAAATAAGGGAACTGCCAAATGTACATTTAGCCTTCAAGATGAAGGAAGTTAATGCTGATGAAGGGCTCCTGATCCATGAAACCCGGGCTACCCTTCCCTTCATGGGAGTAATCCTGGTCGCATTCCACAGGCACTGGATGACTTATGGGTTTAGTGAATTCCCATGAATGTAATAATATCCACTGAAATAATTATGCATATACTGTGTAGTTTTTAGCGAGAATTTTCAACCGTTGAAGGTTTTTCTCGGAAGTAACAAGACTTGGCTTGTTTAGCAAAAATATGCCTACAGGTATTATAATACAAAGATTTCAGAGCACGCCTTTATATGGACAGGTTTCGCTCACCTGTAGGCGAAATGCTGGTATAGTTAAGACTTACTGGGTGCCAAGATGATGGTGTAGCTGTAGGCGTCAAACTCTGTGTCATTCTTGTTCTTGTTCCTGTAAACTTTGTGATAGGGGCGACGACTGTTTTTGCCTGGCGTATATGTCGTATTATTCTCGACGCCCTCCTCACGACCTGTAGCAGAACGACTTCTGTGGCGCCGATAGTGGTGACGATTAAGATTGTTACGTGAGCGGTGGTGGCGGTGGCCGGCTGTTGGAGTGTGGGAAGTGGAAGGTCGCTTGTGATGGTGGGCTCTGTGGCGGCGAGAGTTCGTGGATACCTCGTCGGGAACATCATCCTTGCTACCTGAAGGTGAAGACTGCTGAGAGCTTGGAGGAAGTACCAGATCTCCTGCTCTGTTATAGTCCTGCGAGGCCGGGTCATCGCTGGCATAGTCGAAAGTCTTGATGCTCTTATTGCCCTGAGCTTCCTGATGCGGCTGAGAATAAGGCAAAAACGACACAGCTTCAGTACTCTCATTTCCGAGGCTCTGTTCACCTTCCACTGGACCATAGACAAGCTTGTACAAGTGGTAGAGCTCGCCCTTGAAGTAAGAGTTGTTCTTTTTCTCCTGAGAGCCGTCGACTAAGTGATAAACATGGCCCTCATGTGTAATCTCTCTACCACCATTTTCAGGAGAGGTTTCCACTCTAACGGAGCAGCCTCCTGAGCCTCCATCGCTCGTCTCTTCTCCTTTGTGCCGTTTTCCTCCTTTCTTCTCGTCTCTTTCCATGGCATCCTGGGGTAACAACAATGTTTTAGAACACACAAAATGAGTTGCACACAACAGGAGGCCTGCATATTATAATTCTACATGCACGTGAAGTCCTCAGTAAAATTTTACCAATAAATAAGCATGGGAAAGAAAAATAGTCAAGACTGCTTCGGGGAGACTAAAAAAAAATTCCTAGAAGCTTTTTATATTTACTTCTACGAGGCTCAATTTATCGACACTAACTGGCTACCAAGCTGTTGAACCTAGTAGCCTGTCAGACTTGGATCACCTAGTTAGTAAACTACCCAGGGGTGGAGGGATGATTCTAGTATTGTATCACCCTAGGATGATCCCAGTAATGCATTAACTTGGGATGATTCTGGATGCGTAGTGACCTGGTATAAACATCTTTGAAGACATGATCTAATTTAACTAATATAGATGAGATCTCTAGTTACTCTAAGCTTTAGAGACAATTATATTAACCAGAGGTGACCCTGGCAGAGAAGAAGCTTACCTGTACAGCCCAGCCGGGACAACATGCAAAGATCTTGTGAGTGTGGACCTCCTCCCGTTCCTGGTACACTGTGCGGTATTTGGTTCTGTGGGTGACAGACAGTAAAATGAGATGAGAAACACGAGATGTGATCAAAATCGTATTACAGAAAAAAAAAAGTCACAATTTTAAATCTTTCAAAAGCCCCACAATTTGGATTATTATTACAATCAAGGGGGAAGCGCTAAACCCGGAGGATTATACAGCGCCTGGGGGGGGGATGTGGAAGGCATTCAGGCTTAATTTGGGGAACTGGAGCACAGATCCAATTCCCTAAATCAAGAGCCCCTCACCAACATCAAGGAACCTTCCTTGAGGGGCCCACAATTTGGAAATTGACATTTTTTTTTTTTTTTTTTCAATCTATACAGTGGGATCCTTTTCAGTACATTTTCTGAATATGAAAGTCTGTTGTTTGTGTTTGGGGAAAACAGGCTGTATCCTCAAGTCACGTGATCTATCTTCTAGCTTTCTTTCCTGTTCTTCCTTATATAAGAACTGGTAATGGTCCAAGATCGATCGAGATACCATCCAGTTTTGAAATTCAATATATGTGGGTTAACTGCGAATTGAATATAACGAAAATATTTCTTTTATGGATATGTTTGGCAGGATTATTATAACTTGGTGCCAAACCCACAAGGGTCATACAACATGTCTGACAGGAATTTTGGCTGGGACTTTGCTGTGTACTAAAAGTATAATCATTTTTAGATAAATTGTTACTGGTTGGTATTTATAAGTGAGACTAAGTAAGTTTCAGTTGAATTCAGATTATTGCGAGATGCCAGAAGCAATTACATCATAAAAATACAGAACTTGGAGGCCTTTTACGGGAATCTAATTTTGTATTTCGAGACAAAGTCGAACAAGTTATGACCTCCCCAGATTTGTTTCCTGCTGGCATAAGAATTAACCTTCAAGAGTTACGATCCTAGACCCCGCTTTGCGTCAGGGTCGCCCATGATGATTTATAACGACACAACACAATCAATACTGTCACACAAGCATTAATGAATTACCTACTAAAGAGTCTGGAGACACTGTCACTAAGATTCACAAGGATCAAGTTAAAATTACTGTCCTGATGTACCTAGAGCAAATGCCCCTGGGATATTTTAACTGCATATAATGAGGATTAAGGCGTGTGCAACAGTTGGGTATCGTTATTGATGAAACGTTTCGCCTACACAGTAGGCTTCTTCAGTCAAATACAGAGGGAGTAGTAGAAGTGAAATAATAATGATGTAATAAGTCCATCAACATTGGAGAATAAATATCTGAGGTGGTCAGTCCCTCAGCCTGGAGAAGAGTTCGGCTCTAAGGTTGACTGACTGATTACATCATCTTTATTTCACTACTACTGCTTCCTCTGTATTTGACTGAAGAGGTCTACTGTGTAGGCGAAACGTTTCTTCAATAAAGATACCCAACTGTTGCACATGTATCTTAATCCTTAACTTGTCGGTATTTCATATCTTTTCCAACATAACTGCATACAATAAAACAAGCGACTACAAATATTAAAAGTACAAGGAATGGAAAGAAATACCCAGGTCTTGCATGTGCTTGTACATCAGTGGGATTGTGCAAGCACATGTAGCCTCTCAGGCATTTATTTTCTCACATTCGTATTTTATTAGACACACACACACACACACACACACACACACACACACACACACACACACACACACACACACAAAGGTCGTATACCTTTTCTTTTTCGCAGAGTTTACAGGTGGATTATTATAATCAAGGGGGAAGCGCTAAACCCGTAGGATTATACAGCGCCTGGAGGGGAGATGTGGAAGGCATTCAGGCTTAAGTCGGGGAACTGGAGCACAGATCCAATTCCCTAAATCAAGAGCCCCTCACCAACATCAAGGAACCTTCCCTGGGGGGTTTGCAAGTGGAATAAGCAGGGACGGCAGCTTCACCTGTGATAAAGTCATTCATCTGCCACAGGTAATATCCCAACCTTGTGCTGGCAGTCACCGTGTCACACAATCTAGCTTACAGTTTTATGTTGCCCATCCACCATTTTCTCATCGGAATAGATGATAGTGCCTGTTACGAGTGCTATCAGTCTTTGGTGTATAGTTTCTTTGCCCTCCAGAGCTGATACTCATCCAGCAGGATGAGTAACAGTGGAGAGAAGGATGACCTGTTGTAACTCCACCTCCAGCCTGTCTGAAGCAGCTCTAATGGGGAAGTATCGTCTTGCCTGTATCGTGGGGATGTAGTTGTGGCCCGCCGGGGGAGAGAGTTTTTGTTCTTAGAATTTCACTATGAATGCTGAGAAATATTCTATGTAGTAGTGGTAACAGTCGTCTTTCATAGTGGCGTAGGGGAAGACTATCTCCCTCCCCTGAATCACACCCTCTTCCACATCTATCATCACTCATACACTTCATTCATAGTGGTACGCTTATTGCAGCTACTCTAAAGTGGTACACAAAGTAATTTAGTCAACCGCCCACTCACCGAACCATTCACCCACTCGTCAACCCATACTCGCCAAACAACCCACTCACCAAACCAAACACCCATCCAAACTAACTCAAGTAACCCAAACACACACTCACAAACAGGGGTGTGGTAGACAGGAGGAGTTTCGACAGGTTCACATTGAGATGTTAATTAATCTTGGGGAACATCGTAGTCGAGAGGCAGTGCCGACGGCCATCAAAGGGTCAACCTGACATCTGAGGACCTAGACAGCAGGCACTCCTGGGGGCCTAGCCAACCTGCCGCTAGGCAGTTAGTTTAATATTATTCTGGTAGTTTGGCAGACGCACAGATATTTAATTAAATGCAAACTATTTGATTAGTCTTATGGTCACTTTCTTGAACAGTTTGCGTTAGGTTGTCTACTTACTGAGGAATAAAGAGACAGTATAAAAATCAATATACAGGAATATTTCTCCTCAATGAAAGGAAGATTTTAGATATATTAAGCAAAGATAATTTAAGATATAAATCCAAATGTACTTCTGTTTACCCTATTTGGAGCCTAGTTTTAAGGCCTTCTGTGTATCCATATACACTTGTGCTGCCCTCTATGGGATGGATGATGCACAATAAGCTAGCCACTTCGGCGGCAACATCTAAACCTTACTGTGAACCCCATACCCATCCTGCGGGTGGCAGTCAAAAGATTACATTGGCACATAAAGGGTCCAGGAACTATGTTCCAAAGTTGTGATAGCTAAAGTTACAGTCGTAATGAACTATTTACGTGTTTATATCTGGTTACAATTGTTATTTATCCAGATATGATTTTAGTCTCAAAAACATTAGTGTAGCTTACAGGGAAAAAGGTTTATTTAGATTATTTACTCGATGGTCTGTAAGCCAGGGTAACAAAGCCAGTCAGTGCGGCTTATAATTCCATTCGGGTATTTTGATCCTCTTCCCCGGCATACGATCCGCAACAGTTAACTAACACTCAGGCTCCTAGTTATTGCTAGGTGAATGGAGGCATCAGGTGTAATGAGAAATACTCCAGTGTTTCAGTTCGTCCCGGGATAAAACCCGGATTTTTCAACTGTAAGCCGTAGTCACTACCACCCGAGCCACAAGCCACAATGAATAAGGCACAAGAACACAGAAGGCAAAGGGAAAAGTAACGAAAAAGATAAGCAAAATGGATAGTTCTTCCCCCCCCCCCCTCACCAAACAATCATTAATAGAATTTGTGTATGTGGTTACAGACCCATGCATATAGGAGACTTGAGAGTTATGAAATTTCGGTCTGACTTGGACCATTAATTAGTGGCCCAAGACTAGTTAATAGTCCAAGTCGGACCAAAGTTTGAAATCTTCTACGTGCGAGTAATTTGTATATTGTTCCAATCACGGTATTGTGATTTTTTTTTTTATTATAGACCCAGCTTATGAAGCAAGTGCACACAACTATGTCACAAGGGAATCGAAATCTTCCTGTTGGGGAGGTCAGAATAGCAAACACAAAGAGTTAAAATCACAACACAGCAGCCGGGTATGTGGAGCAAGACAAAATGGTGCCAAGATCCTAGACGATGGCTCGAAACTCCACATCGTAGTCTAGACAGATGGAACATTAAATTTTGCGGCCGAAGCGGCTAGTTCGATATGCACCGCGAAGACATCCTGAGGAGTGTGGACGGTAGAACAAGAGCCTATGGATACACAAAATTACCAGGAACTAGGCCCCAAGAAGGGTTGACAGCAGTGAATCTGGATTTATGGCAACTGATTATGTCTTATCTGTTGCAAACAAATTTAGCATTAGTAATAATGGTAGAATCACCGACCAAATGCAGGTAAATGGACACAAATGCAACTAATGTGACTTTTTGTGGCAACGTTTTGCTCTCCAAAAGCTTTGTCAAGCTATTGCGGATTGACAAAGCTCCTGGAGAGCGATACGTTGCCTTATATTATTATAATCAAAAAGAAGCGCTAAGCCACAAGGGCTATACAGCACGTTGCCTTATAAAATGTCATTAGTTGCATTTGTATCCACTTGTCTAACAAATTTAGACTTTGGACAGCGATAGAAAGATCATGAACAGTGTTACAGGGTCACCAGCGATGTTCTGATTAACAAGAACACTAGGCTGTTGTCTTTGTAAAGGGTATTGGTTATTAAAGAGTTAGAGAAACTTTAAAACACCAGAAAGAATCTTCATGAAAAGAGACTCAAGTGAAGGGAGTTAGTGAAGCTCAACTGATGGATAATTTAAAAAAAATGAAAGGAAATAAGGGCGAAAGTGAAATGGTGAAGGAAGGAATAACTCAACTCCGAAAGAGAAGCTGTGGAAGAGAGACTATTAGTATAATAAAAAAAAGAAGAGCTAAACACAGAGACAGAGAGAGAGAGAGAAAGAGAGAGAGAGAGAGACGGGGATTCAAAGTTATAATTATTACGAGGGAGCGCTAAACCCGTAGGAATATACAGTGCGTGTGGGGGGGGGAGATGGAAGGTATTCAGGTTCAATTCAGGGCACTGGAGCACAGATCCAATTCCCTAGATCAAGAGCCCCTCACCAGCGTCAAGGA